AAGAGCTCTCTTGGCGATTACCCTGTTGAGCACAAGCTCCTTCCTACATGCTGCGTCCCTCCCACACCTGCTGCCCCGCACCACTTGCCGTTTTACCTTCCAATCTGCGAGCCTGCCATTGCGCCATTCCATTTGCTCTATCATGTCTTGCTAGGTCTCGACCTGTGAGGCCAAACATGACGCTGCCTGTTGAACACGGTTTGCCCGCGCTTCATGGCAAACAACCCAGGGCCTGGCCATTGCATGTCACTGTCGACCCATGCCAGGCACCACCTGCGGTTGGGGACGCCACGGGGGTGGGAGGCCGCCTGGCCATTGGTCTGAGGATCCCCGCCGCCACGAGTTGCCTGCCTGGCCCGTGCTCAAGCTTACGCGCGTGGGCCAAGACATGGTTGAGCAGCTCCTGCTCGGCCAATTACCGCGACCTACCTACCTTCCGCAATATCGCCACGGTTGAGTTCCGTTTTCTACTCGACCGTAACAGCATGGCCGTTACGCTGTACCACACTTTTGGATCACACAGAGGCATCACGTTCGAGGGAGACGACGCCTGGCTTCCACAGCCTGCAGAGGGCTTCAATACCCTGTAGCAGAGCGAACAGGGCAAAGCAAGCCAGTTCCCATTCCGAGTGTTACAACAGCTTCCATCGTACATGAACGTGCCCTTCCACCCTCTACCACTCGGCGACCTCGCCCGCCTTGGGCTTCTGCATCCGAACCACCTTGTCGCAGTTGAGCAGGCAGAGCGGGTCGAACGCCTTCTTGATCTGTCTTGTGTCAGTGGGGGTCCTCCAGGAGAGGCTGTATGGATGGAAAAGGCGTCTCCATGCAGACGCTCCTGTACGTACCTGTCGCATGGCGTCCACAGTCGTCTCGCCGAGCTCGTGCGGGAGGTAGTCCCTCTTGACGAGGCCCACGCCGTGCTCGCCCTGCTGCCGTCAGTCCAAATACACACAAAGCCCTGACAGGATGCACATACCGTGACGGTGCCCTCCATCTCCACGGCGCGCTTGACCATGTTGTGCACGAGCGTCTCGGCCCTCTTGCGCTCCTTGTCGTTGTACAGCAGGATGACTGCCTCGTTAGATGTGTGTGCCCAGTGACGAGATGAGGGAAGAAGAATAAAAGAAAAGGAAGAAGAATAAAAAAGAAAAAAAAAGAAAAAAAAAAGAGAACTCACTGTGAAAGTTGCCGTCGCCGACGTGGCCCACAATGGTGCCGAACAGCCCGCTCTTGCCCATGGCGTCCTTGGTCTCCTCGATGATGTCCGGCAGCCGGCTCATGGGCACGGCGACGTCGCCGGTCCAGACGTGGTCGCCGTCGCGCTTGACGGCCATGGTGCTCCAGAGGGCCTCCTTGCGGGCGCTCCACAGGTCGTGCTGCTCCTCCTCGTTGCGGGCAAACTCGAACGACTTGCCGCCGGCCTGGCCCGCGAAGCCCTGGACGAGGGCGACCTGCTCCTTGACGCCGCGCGCCGTGCCGGCAAACTTGAAGAAGAGCGTCGGCGCCTCCTGCCAGGCGCGGCCCGTTGTGCCCGACTCGTTGATGCAGCGCATCTGCAGGTCGTCGAGGATCTCGACGGCGGCGACGGGCACGCCGGCGCCCACGACGCGGGCGACGCAGTTGGCGGCGTGGCGGATCGAGGGGAACGTGGCGACGGCGACCGACGTCGACGCCGGCTTGACCGTCACCTTGAGGGTCGCCTCGGTGACGAGGCCCAGCGTGCCCTCGGACCCGATGAAGAGCTTGGTGAGGTCGTAGCCGGCGGAGCTCTTGCGCGGTCGCTGCCGCGTCTTGATGATAGTGCCGTCGGCCAGCACGACCGTCAGCGAGAGCACCCACTCGCGCATGGTGCCGTAGCGGTACGCGTTGGTGCCGCTGCAGCCCGTGCCGACCATGCCGCCGATCATGGCACCGGGGCCCGGGTCGGGTGGGAAGAAGAGGCCCGACGCGCCGAGCTGGTCGTTGAGCGCCTCCCAGCCGACGGCCGGCTGCACGACGACGTCGAGGTCGGCCTCGTGCAGCGCCAGCACCTTGTTCATGCGGCCAAAGTCGACGCAGACGCCGCCGCGCGTCGGCACAAAGTGGCCCTCGAGCGACGTGCCGCCGCTGTAGCCGACGACGGGGATGCGGCGCCGGTGGCACACCTTCATGATGGCCGCCACGTCCTCGGTCGACGAGGGGAAGACGACGCAAAAGGGCCGCTCCGACGCCTTGGCCGGGTGCGACGACCACTCGGACGAGGCGTGGTGGTCGAGGTCGTTGGGCGCCGTGCTGACGTGCTCCTTGCCGAGAATGTGCACAAAGTCGGCCCACGCCGCCTGCATGTTCTCCATGTTGGTCTTGTGCTCGGGCGCAATCGTCTTGTCGAGCGGCAGCGTCGAGTCCTCGCTGGGCTTGGGCGGGTAGAGCGAGCCGAGGTAGTAGGACGAGCCCATGGTGAAGAGCAGGACTGCGGGCAGGAGGTGGTCAGCTTGGGGGCGACACTCATGAGGAGGCCGAACAATGGTTGCACATACCAAAGGTCAGGGCATAGCTCCGGCTTGACGCCGACTTTTCACGCTCGTTGGCGAATCTCTCGCGATCCGCCCTCTCCCGCGCCAGACGCTGCGTGATGCTGCCCGTCACCTGGCCCTGGAACGACCGGCCCGCCTTGTCCTCGTTCGATACGCGCTCGGGGGGCTTGCTGTCGGAGGCCAGGTGTCGCAGGGCGTAGGCGGTGCTGCGGGGTGTCGTGCGGAAACGCCGCAGGGCGCTCTGGGAGGCCTGGGCTGGGAGGCGGGCCATGATGATGATCTGATGTGTGGTTTTGCTCGAGGTTGTGTACTGGGGATGGTCGCCGACTGGCTTATGCCATGCGTCAGGGAACGTTATGTTTGTTTTTGATGTGTCT